GAAGGACCCCTCTGTCAAGCTCCTAAAGTTTGCAGATGACACAACGGTCATTGGTCTCATCCGAGACAATGATGAGTCAGCCTACAGACGGGAGGTTGAGCAGCTGGTCCTGTGGTGTAGCCGCAACAACCTGGAGCTGAACGCGCTCAAAACAGTGGAGATGACAATGGACTTGAGGAAGAGCACTCCCACCTTACCCCCCACTCACCATACTTGGCAGCACTGTATCAGCAGTAAAGTCCTACAAGTTCCTGGGCTCCACTATCTCCCAGGACCTGAAGTGCACATCCAACATCAGGACCATCACCGAGAAGGCACAGCAGAGGATGTACTTCCTGCACCAGCTCAGGAAGTTCAACCTCTAGTTTTAAGTACTCTGTTTTTATCCCTATTTATCTCATTTCAATGAACATTCTTTTGTTGTCTGCATTGTTTACTGTCTGTTTATACTGCTTTTTCTGCATTGTTTGCACTGTTTGTTGATGTTATTGCTGCTATTTTTTTTATATTACACAGCCTTATGCTGGTTTACTGTTTTGCACATTGAGAGCCGGATCGCGCCAGATCACAACACGGAAAAAGGTATGACGAAGAAAGCGGTGAAAGTTAGTTTGGAGGTTAAAGTTCACTCAGGTTAAGCCCACCCATGCTTTTTACTCTATGTAACTTAAACGAGTAAAAAGCCAGCACCAGAGAGGTCGATAACATTGCTGGTGAATCCTCACGTGAGTTCGGCCGTCACCTCCAGCTTTAAGGCAAAACGCTGGAATCACCTGTGTGACCACTGAATTTTATAAGATATGGTTTCGTTTCACAAGTCGTCTTAATTGTGCATAGAAGAGATGTTTACGAACCCAGTGAAATGTAAATTGCTGACGGACGCAGCCTGGGTAGTTTCCCACGTCACACAGGTCACTCCAGCGTTTTGCCGTCAGACTGGAGGTGAAGGCCGCTGCCGAGCGCGAGTGAGGCTTCACCGGGAGCGTAAACCTCTCTGAGGAAGACGCTCCTCTTCGTCACGCAGTGTTGTCGTCAGCTGGGTGAGTCTTCTTTGGAGACTTTTTTTTTCCTGCTGTGGGTTAAAAATGTGGACATGCTTTGTGCTTAATTAATTGACTTTTGCCTTGTATGTGGCGCTGTTCCTGTTTCTGAACGTGTTCAGGTTCCGTGGTTTGCGAAGTATTGTCTTTGTGCTTCGTTTTTCATGGTGTTAACAGGCCTTTTTCATAGCAGTCATTTTGACATATGTCATAACATGAAACGCACAGGAGAAATTAACTTTAATGAGGACTGTTTTCCATTTAGTTGACCTAGTTGAAGGGCCCTGGTGCGCTGGCTTAGCCTGCTGGGACACTTAATTCAAGCAGAGCCATTGTTAATGGAATTGATGTCACGTGTGTTTTCCCTTCCCTGACAAGTCAAAAATGTTTGCTGTGAAATGGGTCTGTTATCTTTGAAATACTTATGTGACACAGTCCCAACAGAAACCTGAGGTGTACTGAACGCCTTAAGGCTGGTTGTTGACTATATCATGTCAAGCATGACCTTTAAATTTCTATTTAGCCTTAACACTGAAAGTAGGACATATGGACACATGTAGTAACGTGGTACAGTAACTAGTTGACCTGTGTAGATTGGTACTTTAAAGAGACCTTATTTACTGATATTTATTGTTTACATGTTTATCTTTTAGCATACTTTCTTCTGAAAAGATGTTGGGACAAGTATCATTAATGCAGTTTTCATTATACAGTAAATAGGACTAGGCTGATTATCTTGGCTGAGCTACTTCTGCGCTTGCCTTTCAAACAGAAAAGTGGAGCAAAGCTGACAGTGAAGTTCATGAAAATAGGTCTGAATGAAAGATGACTGCTCAGGTCTATCACTTGTACCCACACCAGCATGCACAGTTGTCAAGCGTCCTGTGCTGTGACTGGTATGGTGAATTAGTTCATTTAAGAAATGCATATATATTTGTTGCTTTACTCAACATCAGTCCAAAAGCGCCTGATAATGTGGTTAACTCAGATTAGCATGGTGATCACGGAAGCGTCATGTTGTCTTGCAATTGACTGTGACGTCAGGGTCAGCGAGTTGGGCTCTGCTAGTGTTTGAAGAATAATGTTTAGACTTGTAGAGTGAAACTGCACAAGGTGTGTTACTGTATGTCTCGCTGTTGTTGCATTTGTTCTATCAGTGCAGTAGCTAAGTAGAGCATTTCTTTTCATTGCTTCTTTCTTTCTAGCCTTCAGGGATTAACATGACAGAGACAGACACGTCACAATGTTACATTTTGGGTGCTGATTTTTCTTGTTGGACAAACGTGCAGCTAGGTGGAACATAAATACTGAGTGTTTTGAGTATTGGTAATGATATTTTGTACTGTCAGCTACTTGGATTAGACAGTTTAACAGTGAGGTGTACTGTGGCATTTGTTTTTAACTCATATGTTTACATTGTGTGGCCACTAGATGGCACCATCTTGCCTTTGCAACTTCTGGTTCAGCCATTCAGTCTGCCTGTTGTCAGCATTACATTTTATGGATTTTAGATAATGATGGAAAATAAAGTTGTTTTGCAACATACCACTTTTCACTCAAGACCTGATTCAGTTTTTAGAAAATATGACCTGGACTTTGACGATATTACAATGTTGCTTTTGTTTAGATGAATCACTTTGCAGAAACTAATTGGTATACTTGTGCCAGATTCCGGATGAAGATCAACTCTTTTCATCTTTCTGTCCAGCTGGGGCAGTCTGGCACATTTTCTGCTTTCTGTGCTCCAAATATGGGCACATAAATCAAAATGATAAACTTCTTTTATAAAACTAAAGTGGAAAAAAATTACATTGACAACAACAAGAATCTTATCATTTTTGCAGTTTTTGATTTGTCTAATTGTCTTAATTTTTCGTATATGTTATGGAGCCAGCTGACCTGTGAGACTGTCTTTGAGCTTTGGGTTCAACATTCAACTGCCAGTACTAGCATCCTGAACAGCATGCTGCTAATGCATGGTGGTTATAGAGTAGTGTGCGTGTGTACAGTATATATACTACTGTACACGAGACCATTGCTAGAATAGCCAGGAATATATCAATGTATTCTTCAGGACTACATGCAGCAGATTGAAGTATCATTTGTGTGTATTTAACACTATTTCAACTGACATTGAGTAAGATATTTATATCACTTCCTATTGTGCTGAATATGTTTAGTGCCCATGTTCCCAGTTTGTGCTACAAATTTTACTTAAACTGCCTGTATTTGTATTGACCTTAGGAGACCAGTAGATGGCGCCAGCAGACCTCTGCTTTTACCATGCAGCTACACAGACTGTTGATCCATAACCAGAGGTTAATCCTTGTTTTAGATGTAGGATTAGTACACAAGTATTCTTGATTCAGTTTTATTATTTATTGTTTTTACACTTAATTTCTTAAGGAAATATGAATAACTGAAATATAAATATTGAAGAAACATAATTGTCATCTTATACATTTTATGAATTAGTTCTGGTAAACCAAAGGATAGGTGCACAGTGTAGACGCATTCATTCCTGCATTAGTAAATTATGTGGCTGTTTTCTCCTTTAAATAGAAAGTCTTTCACCAGTATAGTAAAAAGTCAAACTGATACTCCAGCATACCATGCTGTGGTGTAACGTTTGCATTTGCACTGGATTTTTATTGTCCATATGTTGTCAGTAGGTGGAGCCTGATGACTTTTGATACTTGAGTTTCAGATTCTCATACCAGAGTGGAAAGCACAGGTCGTGTTGTGAATTTCAGTACGCGTTTCACATGTAAAAGCTTATTTAAAGCCTCATTTATTTCTTACTCTGCGCTAATTATGGGAGTTGAGAGTACAGCAATGTGGAAAATGCATCAACAAACCCAAATTACGAGTTAATAAATGTCTGGTCTGGGGAGCATTTTGCAGATGTGAGTGGTTCTAATAGGAACAGACACCAAGAAGGTAATACAACTGAGTTTATTTTTGTCTGAGTTCTGTATCACCTTGCTTCGGTCCCTCTTGCTTCTGCCCTCTGCCTCTGTGACACAGAGGGGACAAAGGAGAACATTCAGCCCGCTGTGTGTTAGTCAAACTGGGACAAGCTGAGGCTGCAGGGTCCACGGGAAAGGATAATTATGCAGCGACGCTCCTCAAGAAGTCCTTTCGTGTATAAAGCCCTCGTGTAACCAACCATGTGAGCGTAGAAGGGAGCGTGTCGAGAGGGTAATTGCAACAAAGACAGAAACCATAATTTCTCCCCACTGCTACACTAATAGAGCGAGAAGGTGGTTTGGGATCAGGTTGACATTGCAGATTTACATCAGGTTGATGATTTCCAGTTTAGGATATTGTTTGTTTTGTGTGTGTGTGTGTGTGTGTGTGTGTGTGTGTGTGTGTGTGTGTGTGTGTGTTTTAGTAAAAGAAACTTTACCCAAAATATTGTAACCCGAGTGCAGTACTCAACAAGAAAAGTAAAATTTTGAATGAATATTCCAACATGCATCACTTGAGCATCTGCACCTTCAAAACCATTTCTTGCAGTTAATCTTGGTGGCTCTGAAATGCAGGGTGTACTGTATATCTATTATATAAAACAGGCAAATATTTTAAAAAATGACCCCAAAACATGTTAATGTTCTCTCACTGCTTGCTGTCTGTCATCTCTCTTCTGTAAAAACTGAAAGGCTACTGTTCTTGTATTTTCTCTCGCAGTATGCAGGAATCTCAGCTTTCCTCTTTGTGCTTTCTATCACCCAGAGACAGTGCACCGCTTCAGTCGTACCAGAATAAATAAATACATACATGGCGACACACACCCCTGTGAAATCAGTGTGAGTTTCTGACATGAATAGTTTAACACAAGCAGAAAATGTCCTAGCAGTCTTCAGGTATTACCTATTTCAATGTTTTTAAAAAAAGGAGAAACTGAGCAATATTTGAGACTAAATGACGTTTAAGTATTCAAACTCAACATTTCATGGCAGTGTGGTTTAAACAATCTTTTCCTCCTTTTTTTTTCTTTTGTAAACCGTCAATTTCTTTCCAGAGCTACTTTATCCTCTCATTTGAAACCGGAGCTTCTAAACTGTTTCTAGCGATCCCCCAGCTTCCCGCAGTCTTCCTCCTGTGACAGAGAGCTTTCCCAGATTTCTCCAGCTTTCTGTCTTTGACTGCTCTCAAATCAATCTGGGATTAGGCTTGATTACATGGATACCCCTTTGGGACACTTTATTTCAATGAATTAGTCGAGTGAATGAACAGAACTGCAACAGAACGGTATTTTGTACCAGCCACATAAATTATGCATAGTCTGTGGATGTCAACCAGCCTTGATCATCTTTCTGATGGTTTGAATTCAGAGTGAGAGAAATGGTTAATTGTCAGCCTTGTCACATATAATCTTGGCTATGTTTGATGTACAATAGAGATGCAGTCTATATGTTGGTTATTTATTTATGGAGGTGTGTGTGATGAAATGGACACTCGGATAAAATGTTTGTATAATATGGCCTCTGCTAGAATCATTGTGGGCAAATGAGAAAATCCATGAATTGCACAGAAACTAGGGACTTTGTGTTTCACGTGTGTGTAGCATAGATACATATTTATATACTTTTGTTTGTTTCATTTTCTCTCTGTGCCATATCATGTTCCCAGCTCGGGTGAGGTTGCAGTGGTGGAGGAGTAAGAAAGTGGTGTAGAAAAACTGCACCTTTTAAATATAATCAAATTGTGGACACCTTCGGGTGAACTTCAGGGGCGTCATAATGAGCAGTAAGCAGTGTTGATGTGTTCTAATTGCAGCTGACCGTACAGATAGGGTTCACCACAATGACAAAGGTGAAGCTGTAGCTCCAAAGCTAAGGACAGCACAGAAGCAGTTATATAAACACATATTTTCCTCAGATTGAAATGATTTCACTCAGGGCATTATTAAATTTATATGCATTCCGGAGTTATTGTTGAAAGCAAATGAATGTTGAAGCATGATTGGCAGAGGTTCATGAATCTGTGATCAGTGT